GTCCATGAGTTAATATGGTTTTTTGGTTGTTTTTGTGTTGTTTTGATGGGCTGATTTGGGGGGGTTGTATTCGGCCAGGCCATGAGGCAAGTGGGAGGGATTGGCATGTGTTGTTTTGGCATGTGGTGTGGTGGATTATTTGGTGGTTAAATTGTTAAAGTTGTGCCATGTGTGTTTTGTTAAGTAATGGATGTTTTGTGTCTGGTTTAGGGGACATAGTGGGGGCCTTGTTGGGTGGATGTTTTAAGGAGTAAATGGGTTTGGCTTCTTGTTTTCGACCAACTTAAGGGTTATGAAGGGGGTTTTGTTGGGTGTGTTTTAACATGGTCTTGAGGGGTGAATGAGGTAGGGTTTTGGGGAAGATGGGTTCGGCCAAGATGAAAAGGAGAAGGGGGAGAATGGTTAAGGTTTGGTGTTGTTTCTGGATTGTAGGGATTGAGGAGGATCATGGGTTTAAGGGCCTTCAAAATGGATCATATAGCTTAAACATAGGTCCTCGGCTTCCCCCGGGAGTGTAGGGTATAGGGCGAACCATGATGAGGCTGAGCCCAGATATATCACTTGTTAAACTATGTTATTGTTGGACTATGAAGCGAATAGTATATGCTCTATTGCTCCATTCTTATTTTATATTGTCACACTGTTTGGGTTCTACACTTTTATTTGATGTAAACGTACTTCAATGCAATTTTTTTCAGAACACATTAATGGAGGTAGCTTTGCCAAACTTTTTGTTGGATCTGTCCCAAGAACAGTGACAGAAGATGATGTGAGTTTTCTCTTATATGTTTTAAAAACATTTATTATCGTGATATTACAAAATAGGTGTGTAAAAATCATGTATTCAAATGCTTTAGAATGATCATCTTCAAGTCTATCATCTATGTTTTGATTTGGGTCATGCTTGAGTTCTAATATCCCAAACTATGAGGCACATACTACTAAAGTACCATAGCCTGTGCTGTTTAAAAAAAAATTCTTGAGCTTTATTGTTATACCCCTGGATGGATCCACCAAAACCTCAAACCATCCCTAAACATCCAAAATGCCTTTTCTTTTATTTTCTTTCAAATAAAGTCTTCCTCCACTTATTTTAAGTCCCTTGACCGAAAATAAGAAGACCACTTTTATTTTTTTTAAAGCCTTAAATAATCAAATAACACACTTCCCTTCTTGTTCCTACATAGGGATGAAATTCCAGCCCCATTTGGTTCCTAAAATCCAACCAAAATTACCATTTACCACAAAGGAAAAAAAAATCAGCAAAAAGAGTCTAAAGTTGAATAGTAAAAGTTTCTCCTTTTGTTGACTAATTTCACAACCAAACATGCAGTGTACCTTCCTCACCTTTTCCCCTACAAAAGGCCGAAAACAATCCACCAAATACAGCCTAGAATATCTTCATATTAAGTTTCAAATTATCCTTCTTGATTTTGTGTGCATAAGGCCGAAAATCCATAACTCATTTTAAGCCAAAATACTTTCCTTTCACAGCCACACCATGTTCCCTTGTCTTGCTCACTAATAGCCGAAATA